CACCTCTCATCGCTTTGACGAACCGCCATGCTTCTTTTGTGGTTGGGTCATCATTAAGTTGATCAATCCTCTTTTGAAAGTGTTTCTTTTTTGCTTCTTTAACCTGATCCTTCCAGTCTTTTTTGGTGTGAAGCAAATTTTGAAAGTTTTGTGGGGTGGGTTCTGTTTTGCATTTTTTATAGGCAATTTTTAGGAATCTGAACGACTTCATTAACGAGTCATTCCACCAACCTTTTGGACACCTGTTTCCTTGCACAGAGTAGGTGGCAGCATTTAGCTCTCCTTGGAATTTGTTATGGATATCATCAACGTTAGGAGATAAGTTAAGATGTTCTAACTCTTTCATGAGTTTGAGTTTAGCTAGAAACCTAGGCGAGCAGTTTTCAATTGTATTAGTTTCAATAGTTATTGGAAAGTGATGACTACCTCCTAATCTAATAGAGTCAGTTTTCCATCGAAAGGGAAGGCTGCTGTTGGAGAAGGAGAGATCTAAAACAGACCCGTTTGGGAGATCAAGGTTGTTTTTAAAAGTAATTGACCCATCATTTAATACCAAGAAGTTGAATTCCGCCATGATTTTCTGAAGATTGTTTCCTCGACAGGTAGTTATCTGGTCACCCCATACACTGGATCTCGCATTGAAGTCCCCTAGTATCAGGACATCTTCAAAGCTTTCAAGGAAGGATAGCAGTCTGTTCATCTCATTTTTAAATAACTCAATGGGTATTGTTTGTGGGAAGTAGGTTGCACAAATTACTAAGTTTGGTTTTAGGTTCTTTGTTTGAATAGTCAGTATGTCAAGTACAGAGTTTAAAATCAATTTACGAAATTTTATTCTTTTGTTTAGAACTATGGCTACTCCACCATATCCATCATCTCTATTTTTTCAATTATGTTGAAATCAATAATATTTCTGTGGGGTTGTTCATTAGAACTAAAAATTTCACTCAAAACAGCTATGTCATAGTTGTACTGATTTAGAAAAAACTCGATTGTGTCGATATTTGCTTTAAGTGATTGGCAGTTATGTTGAAGGATCTTCATCATGCATTCTGCGGGGGCACACTACACCCTTGTTTCACAATTTCTAACTCGTCCTGCATTATTATTTGTTCAAATTTATGTTTAAGTTGTAAAATTTCGGTCAATGGTTTGCTCAGCTGTTCATTAATGCAGAGGCTTTGAGTGATCTTGAAGAGATCACTGAGTATCCTCTCCATCTCTGTTACTTTGTTTTTAACGTATTCTGGTTTGTCAAAAATCGGAGTTGTATCCATTCTGTCACGTCTGTCTCTGGGCCTCTCAACTGTCCTGCTACTCCTAGCCTGCCTTGCGTTTGCTTTATTAGCTACCCAGCTATATTTAATTTTAGTCATCTTTCTATTGACGCTAGCATCTCTATTCTTCGTGTTACTATCGCGGGATAGTGCCGGATACTCTGCATCATCTGCAACGCATCATATTGATTTTGTCTGTTAGGGAAATATGTTTGAAGAGTTTCTCTCCTAGAAATTTTTTTCACTGCCCTAATATGGTTAACCATAACTTCCTTTTCCCATGTTGGGCACTTAGTTTTGTCTGAAGATGTGTGTTCGGTGCTACCGCACAGAATGCACTTCTTCCTGCATGAACCCTCCTCACAGCTGCCTTCACCGCACAAGATGCACCTCCTTTTGGACTTGCATGAGAATTGGGTATGCCCAAGCATACCGCAATTCATGCACTGCCTTAGAGGTAGTATGAAAAAGTCAACATATAGTTTTGTATAATCTAGGATGATGTACTTAGGAACTGCCTTTCCAGCAAAGCCTAACATGATCGTGGTTGTAGGGACGTAGGTATTGTCCTCGATCCTTCGAGAAAAACGTTTAACTGACCTAATTGGAGCGCTTGAAATGGCATTTGCCATGATCTCAGAATCATTGTAAGAAGTGGGGATGCCTCTAACGACACCGTATGATTCCAAAGCGATTTTTGGTATGAAGGGTTTTAGCCCCAAGTCGCTAATTTTTTTGTTTAAAATAAGGTTGTTTGCAGATGCGCAATTTTTGAAGGTCACTTTGTAGAGAGTTTTACCGATTGACTGTATGAATTCTATATCTTTAATATTCAAATGTTTAATTTTGTTAAAAAGAGTCAAGCCATTAGTTATTTTGTCATTTTGCATATCTTTGCACTCAGATGAGTCTACTAAAACAAGAATTATGCCAGAAAAATTTGGCGGGTATAGTTGTGTATCATTTAAAATCACCGTATCATTATTTTTTGCCTCCACTGTACCTGAACTAAATGTGCCATCGGGCGCACCTAGCGGTACTCTGTCGTCCGCTATGTTACCGTTTGACGCATCGGCGTCCCCTAACATTTCATCATCTTGCACTTTTTCATCAAACTTTATTTCACCGGTAGCACTTATTTCAGCTTTTGTCTTAGCCAAATCATGCGCCTTTAGGTATTTCACTATTTTATCTTGGGTATTTTTCTTGAACTTTCTACCTTTAGCAAGGTTCGCGCTCGTCGACGACGCCATATCGGCTTTTCTTTTTACTGCCGTATGCGGCAGGTTCTCACTTGTAAGACACCACTAATCAAAAAGAACAACATTTTTCACACTTCACGAAAGAAGCAAAATCACTCACCTGTAACACCGTTTATCCTTTTGGTGGTTGTTAATTTATAAAGAACTTAAAAGGCCCGAAGCCAACAATGAAAAAAGGCTTATACAGCTATGCGTATAGCCCTAGCTGTACTTTACTGCTATAAGAAAAACTAAAATGAATAAGTTGTAGGCGCCAAAGAAAATGTTCCACTAGGTTATTGCGCTAGACACGTCCACACTCGCTCGCAGTTAGATAGGGAATGATTCAGCTCGTAATCACAAAAAATAAAATAGAAACAATTTTATTCATACAAAAAACCTGCTAAATCCACTTCAATTTTGAAAATACAAAAACTAAAACCTGCTAAGTTAGAAATTCGCCAATAAAACCATAAAAACGTAATTTTTTTCATTCGTTCTGGATTAGGACCATAGAACGTCGCGCGATTAACAAACTATATGTAGGATTTGCCCCTTAGATTAAGAGTTAAAGATATATTTAGTTTTTTGCCTCTACAGTAAAATATGTTTTTTGGTCGTTAGCAGGTTTACACTCTAAGGCGACGATTTAAGAAATTTGTCTATGGATTCATTAAAAAGTTCCGACCATCTAAAGTGGCGTTTGTGAGCCAATTCTATTTAAAATATTTTAAAACTATCAACAGCGCTACGATTTTGTTCTCAGAGATTGTGCCAACAGAGTTTTGGGATTTTGTTTCACAAGTAAAACCAGCCTTTCGAGCTTGTGTTTAGTATTCACGATGTTATAACTACATGAAATTAATAAAAAGTGTTTAAAATTAGTGTCTAGCCGCCAAAATGTAAGAAAACACATATATTTTTCACAATTTTCTAACACTTCGCTACACCATCGAAAGCAAAATTCTGTTCGACAGAAAATTCGATACTCAACGAAAATTTCGACACGCTTGCATAGCTCATAATACGAATTTCACTTTCGATCTTCGATCTTCGATAGCCAGCGAAGATCGAAAATCGATTGCCGCTCATAATAAGGGCCACTGTTTTTGTTTTTAGGAGTAGGGTGGGATTGTCAGTGATAAAATAAGAGTGAGAGAAAGTTTTTCTTACAAAAACTTTAATTATTGAATCATGGGGTTCACTTGGTATTTTTTCACTTATCAATCAATGAAAATCATGCTTACATTTATTAGTAAAAATTTAAACTCGCCCGGGCGATCTCGGGCTAGTGTGAAACAAACATGACCTTCAAAGAGGCCCTCAACAGCTTGAGAACCAACAAAAAATGGGCAGTTTCGGACCCCCGCTAGCAAAAAAAAAAACCTATTAACATTATTCCATTCGATGGTAGAAAATTTAAATCTAAATGAATATTCGTAATAGCCCCGTCAGAATGGATACTTGTACGTCAATACCAGAAAAGTACGCGAAGGAAGTGGCGTACCTAACGTAGAGATATGCCACAATGAAGGTGTTGCGTCTGCAAACAAAAATCAGCTGTTCTTTATGGCTTGAACTTTTTTACTAATATTCACACTTATATTTTACCTTCGTCACTATCCTTGGCTTTTCGAAGAAAGTTTATTGTCTGGGCGGCTACTTTACTCAAACAATGTGGCAAATAATACATATTCTCAATTCTCAATTGTCTTGTCTTGTGTAAACACAAGATTATACAACTGTCAGTATTGCCAGGCTTACTTGCGTCAAAAGGTGAGTGTTGGCCAACGTTCGTTGGGTCCGTCGACACAAGAGTTGCCAATCTGACGCTCTCGATTCAAACACGCAATCTACTCAACTGTCAGTTTCATCCTTGAGCAGAACGTACGCAAAGTACCCATTCTGATAGGCCCGTCAGAATGGGTACTTGTATGTCAATAACGGAAAAGTATACGAAGGATTTATTTAATTATTTAATTATTTATTTTTTAAGAATATATTCACTTTTTTTGACGTTTTCGATACTGTCTTTGGCTTTTCGAAGACAGTTTACTCTCTGGACGCCTACTTTACCCAAAAAATTTTACTATTAATACATATTCTCAATAGTCTTGTCTTGTGTAAATGCAAGGTTAATACAACTGTCCCAGTGACGGACTTACGTGCGTCAAAAGTTCCGTGTTGGCCGACGTTTGTTGGATCCGTCGACGCGAGGGTTGCCAATCTGACGCTCTGTATGCAAACACAGACAGTATTCTCAACTGTCAGTTTCATCATTGAGCGGAACGTGCGCAAAGTACCCATTCTGACGGGGCCATAACTTACGCAACTCAAAACGCTGAGTGTTTTGTACAGGAAATATAATACACAATTTTACTGTGTATGGCTTGAAATCTGAATTCAACTCATGCAGAGGTTTAATAAGTATGTATTATGATAAATATATGAAACTAAATTTTGTACATTTTCTTTAACTCACTTTGGTGAATACTCAATATCTCCTCGCGGGTCTCTTGATAAGTCGAATTCCTGATCGGGTTTTCCACGTGCATCATCAAATGTCATTTTTTGTCGGTTTTTAAAGCTATTAACATAAAAAATATCATAATTATTAGAAAAACAATTAAGAACCCTGTCAGCAATTGGAAGAGAATTTGAATACTGTGCATACTGTGTGTAATAGGGAATTTACATGATTCAACTTTCACAGGCAATTAGTTGAACCAAAAGTTGAACGAAAGTAGGCAGCCGACCAACTTCATTGAAAGCGATTAGTTGAAAGGCCGTTTACACCAGGCAATTGTTGCTTTCAACTAAAAATCGCCTGAAAAATCGCCTCATGTAAATTCCCTATTAGTCTGCACGATGTTCGTCTCTATTGGAAGTTAAGAAGGGGATAGTAAGTCATTTTATAAAAAAAAAAACATTGTTATCGCTTTTCTATCTGCTTAACAGGTTCGCACCCGATTTTTACTCTTGAAAGTTTAGAAAACCAAACTACAAATACAGGCGAATTCGCTGTTTGCTTGGCATTTTTCATTATTGTGCAAGAAATCACATTCGAATAACAAATAATAATATTAGTTGGATTCATGAAACGTCGCAAAGTTGCGACATTACCATTTCATTTGAGCTGGCAATCATTGCAAAGTCAAAGTCGCGAAATACCTGTTTTTTTTTGTTATCTTCCAATATTTTAAGTAAAAGTATATAAATTGAGGCGGCTTCGGAATAAAATTTTAAAAACGTTTCTTTTTCACTTACGTGCGGCATTTTTAAAAAATTTTACATTTGCAATCCGGAGTTGCGATAAGTCGTTCATACAACTTTGTTCGCAACGTTGCCATTTCGCCGAAAATTCCACTATGAAAGCGATCCTCTCTCTCGCTCTGAGCGAATTTTTATTTTTTACAGTACTTTGCAGTGTTACTCTATCGCTCTGACCGAATTTTTATTTTTTGAGTTTTATTAGTTCTAGTCCAAGGAATACGGTTAAATAATAGTTAGGTTAGTAACTTTTCCAGTGAAAAATTGCAGCGAGAGCAAAAATGAAAATAGATCGTAAAATTGAGAAGAGTAAACTAGCAGAAAAAGTTATTGAACCCAAAAACAAGTTAAAAACTAACAAAAACTTGCAAGTGAACCGTTGTTGCACAGTTGCATACCACTTGTAAACATTATACAATTTATAAAACAGTTTTAAACTCTTTGCTTAAACACAAGCACTTATACAGTCCAGTTCATCCTTAATATTTTGATTTCCACTCATTTTACTTATGTTTACTATCAATCAATTCAACAAATGTCGGCTTTTGACATTTATTCTTGTTCTTCTTCCGCTCTTCTTCTGCTTTCACTTAACTTTGGTGACCACGCCTCGTCGGACCCGGAGCGATGCGCGAGCTATTTTAGCCGGCAGTTTATTCTGCATCCTCCGGTGGATAAAGCCAAACGTCGAGTGACCAGAAGGCTGCACAAAATGCCAAAACCTAGTGCGCCTCTTGTTTTCACCAGCGGTGAAGCAAGGGTAGCCATCGGGATGGCGGAAGCCTCCAAAGCCATTGGACCCGACGGAATATGCATGTTGATGCTGAAAAATTTGGGTCCTGCGGGAGTAGCGTACCTAACGGAGGTCCTCAACTTGTCTATGGCCACTCTCGTCATTCCAGACATATGGAAGATGGGGAGAGTGGTCCCACTGCTCAAATCGGGGAAACCAGCCTACAAAGGAGAGTCATATCGCCCGATAACCCTCCTTTCCCAGGTAGCGAAGACACTTGAGGCCTTGCTACTCCCGTATTTCACGAACCACCTGACCCCAGCGAAGCATCAGCATGGGTTCCGTAAAGTGCATAGTACAACAACAGCACTTAACGCCATAAACACTCAGATAACTCGTGGCCTTAACCGAAACCGCCCCTGTGAGAGAACTATTCTAGTAGCGTTGGACCTGTCCAAGGCATTCGACACTATCAGTCATTCAACGCTGTTAGAAGACATAGAGGCCTCCTCTCTCCCACAGGGACTCAAACGGTCGGCGAATTAACCGAGTGGTCGACATTCGTCAGTAATTTTCAGAGACAAAACCACCAAGCCACGTAAAATTAAACAGAGGGTACCACATGGTGGTGTCCTGTCCCCACTACTGTTTAATTATTTCATTTCTAAGCTTCCTCAACCACCAGAGGGTGTCAATATTGTCTCTTATGCTGAAAAATTGTTCGATCATGGCGTCTGGGAATAAAATCGATGACTTGTGCTCGAAGGTAAACGGTTATCTCGCCGAACTTTCTCGCTTCTTCACTGCAAGGAGCCTTGCCACCTTGCCTTGTGGTGGAGAGTCGGCACATGACTCTCGGCACCTCTTCACATGCCCTGAGAGCCCCACCCAGATGACGCCCCTGTCCTTATGGACAGACCCTGTGGAAGTTGCACACTTCCTTGGTCTCCCCTTAGCTGAAACAGACGACAACGTTGACGGATGAACCGACCCGAGCGGGGCTTGGCAATCGCTACAACAACAACAACGGACAGACCATTCCCATGACAGGCGGTTCTACGTTCCGGAGAGACTCGGGTTTTACCCGACCAAGTGCTGTTGTTTCGGCGATCTAACTCCGTTTAGGTCGCCGAAGTATCTCAGAAGCTGTTCGGCCATAGGGCTACATTTGCTACGTATTTTTCTGCTCACGGCTGGCATCGAGCCAAACCCAGAATCCTACGCCAGAGACGACTACTCCACAACTCCACCTCAGTCAAGTGCAATGCTTGCGACGGGTGGAGTCACCATCGGCAGTGGACCACATCATTTGTGGCCCCCTGCTGCTTAAACAGAGCAGCCTTCACGGCTAACCCCACTCCACCTGAGTAGCTCAACACAAACACCACAGCACCACAACACAACAACACAATAGAAAACACCACAACCACGACAGAACACACAATAGACACAACCGCACCACCACCCACACGCCGCCGCCAACAACTCCTGGTTCCTCCTACAATCTGCATGGTATGTCCGACCAGGATATTCCGTAACGTGACATCAGTCAAGTGCAACACCTGCCTTGGCTGGTGCCACTTTAGGGCATGTTCAGGTCTGCGCACCACGCGAGATTGGACAAGGAACTTCGACGGCCCATTTAGGTCGGCGAAGTATCTCAGAAGTTGTTCGTCCATAGGGCTACATTCGATACGTTTTCTTCTACTCAGGGCTGGCATCGAGTCAAACCCAGGGCCAGAAACCTACACCTGCTGTGTATGCCAGAGACGACTACACCACAACTCCACCTCTGTCAAGCGCAATGCTCGCGAGGGGTGGAGTCACCTCAGAGTCTGCTCAGGACTACGGACACATCGGCAGTCGACCACGTCTTTTGTGGCCCCTGCTGCTCTAACAGAGCAGCCTCCACGGCTAACCCCAGTCCACCTGAGCAGTCCCACACAAACACCACAGCACAACAACATAACACAATAGACCACACCACAACGGCTACAGACCACAGAACACACAACCGCACCACCACCCACACGCCGCCGCCAACTCCAGGTTCCTCCTACAATCTGCACGGTATGTCAGACCAGGATATTCCGTAATGTGACATCAGTCAAGTGCAACACCTGCCTTGGCTGGTGCCACTTTAGGGCATGCTCAGGTCTGCGCACCACGCGAGATTGGACGAGGAACTTCGAGGGCCCGTGTTGCGCTGCTCGGTCGCAGACCTCAACTGCGACGCCTCCCGCCACCACCACAGGGCGGCAACCACCTCAGCAGCGCACACAGCCAACTGCGGCACGACCACACATATCCGTCACACCCCGCATCACCACACGTCTCCCGAACCATATGAAGCTCCTTCAATTTAACTGTAACGGGCTTCAGAGCAAGATCGAGGAGATAACCGTCTTCATGGGAAGGCATGGCATATTGATAGCTGCGGTCCAAGAGACGAAGTTGCACAGCAATTCAACACTGTTGAATTGTGCCGGGTACAACGTGCACCGTCGAGATCGCGAGCGGGATAATGGTGAAGGCTTAGCGTTCATCACGCACCACACCGGGCAGTATCGTCTTATCGAAGCAGACATCGACCGCAGGGATACCACCCTAGAATGTCAGGACATTGCTATCCGGTCAGGCGATGTTAAGCTCCAAATATTTAACGTTTATATACCCCCTGTCACCTGCTGCCCGGCAGGATA